GCTAACAAGAAGCGTCTCTCCCTATTATCGGCGACAGCGGACGCGACGCATGAAATCGCCTGGACGCGGTTCTGCGATCTGGAACACCTCCGCTGACAGAAGTTCATTTCCCGTCGGTTCGTCGGTTTAATAAGGTTTCCTGTTGCTCGGTGTTCCAGGGACGAGGCGTAGGATGGGCCGGACCGTGCGAGGAGTCGTGCTACACTGAAGAGGAGGAGCTCCCTGAAGACGAGAGAGAAGGAGGAAGGAACGAAGGATGCCTGCCTCGCAGACCGCCGCCACGGAGCGGCGAAATGAGAGGATGGTGAGTATCCTTTCGACACCACGTGTCGTTATTGATAAAAAAATGTTCCTCTTTTTCCATCGTTCTTCGTTATAAATACACTAGTTCAAGGAAGTATTAGGTCATCCTATAAGTAATACCGTTTTCTTCATGTTAACTGTTAGTGTACAAAATTGATACTTGCTAATAACTATTAATATTTACTGAGTATTCATTTCTAATACTAAATATTAATAGTATTGGGTCATCCCGTAAATAATTGGTTTTTATATTTCTTTTATTTTTAACAATAATGATACACAAAATTTGTTCTTCATAATTATAATGTATAGATAGACAAGTTGTAAATAATGAAGGCGAATATGTTTTAGATTGAAAACAGTTTTGTTTATCTTTATTTAAAAAAATAAAAGAAATATTAAAAACTCCATTATTTATGGGATGACCTAATACTAAATATTAATATTTTAATAATTAATATTAATACTTTACTATTAAATACTAATACTTAATACTTTTTCTTTTTAACACTGAACATACCATGCCCTGTCAAGTAACCTATTTCTTGGAATGAAAAAAATGCACTTATAATTTCCTGTTTTCGATCGTCGATTAACCGTCGAGGTATCGAGCATCGTGGTATATAATCTTTTCTTTTTTTTTCAATTAATTTTTTAACGTCATTTTCAAAATATTGTCTAACGTTCCCAGCTACTAAAGGTAGTTTTGTTTTATGACGTTGATTTCAAATGTATTAAACGCTTCCTTCCTAACGTTGCAGTAACACGACTGCTCGGAAGGAAAAAGAAAGGTTACCTTAAATCATTAATCAAGAAACTTGTCTATCAAACACGTCTCCAAGCGTTCAAGAATTTACTGAAATGAATTATCTCGTCCTGTCTATCAGAGAAGTGAAATTTTTTACCCGGTGTCTGATATGCGGTAATTCTAGAGGTATTATAAGTTACCTCACCTTTGGTCCACTTTAGTTCCTTTAGTAACGTATAAAGTCGTCATTCTTGAACAAGAAATTCATTTTTCTTCATTAAGTTGGAATTTAGTTAGGAATGTTCTTATATTTTTTATTTTTACATTTATGTACCTTAACATACTTTACTTGTACATATTTATTATGCGGCATTATATAAGTTTTATCCATTAAAAAATTCTATATATCTGTATCTCATGCTAGTTAATTTACTGTTGTAATTTCATTCGAATCAAATTTCTAGACATATACGATTTAATTTTGTACTCTATAATACACTCCAATTCCAAAGAAATCAGTACACATTAATATGTAATTCACTTATTCTCTCAAAACTAATGGTATATTAGTACGTGCTATATGAAATAACTGTTTCGTTTTTGCTCTGAGATACGCTCTTCCAATAACAATTTACAAAATCGACGATTACGTTTCCAATACCGTTCCGCTCTGTGTTAGAGTTCCCTTCTCCAACGTTTATTGAATTGAAGTATGAATCGTTAATTTCTAGCATTCGATTTTTCCGAGCCACTCGAAAAACTCTTGCGATATTAAGTTCATATAAAACACTCCTTGCTATTTTCGACATTACGATGCCGTACTTCGCAGGCGAAACACATCAAAACGCTATTATTAGTTCCTACGTTGTAACATTTCTCGTATTACTCGTACAATTTTATTATGCAAAAAGTTCGCCGTATTAACCTGATTTTTCTTATTGTAGACAAAAAAAACTGTAAAGTTTCTTATATACCGGCGTTTGACATTTACGAGTAATTTTACGAGACGGTTTACGAGTAATTTATTTAAATGCACGTGGAGGCGCGTACGCATTTCGAATGCGAGAAATTACAAGAACGTGAAGAGTAATTCTTGTATCGGATTCGCAACGCGTAAAAGGGTGAAAGGAAGAAAGGAATATGATTTTTCGAGGACTCGCTCGACAATCGTCGTTAATTACCGCGCCAGCAATTCGCGACGATACTCGCCATTCGAGAGCCTCGCTGTAGTACAAGCGCGATTCCACTTCCGGTTAACAGACATTGCTGTATCAAATACTTTGATCAGCTATTGGCGTTAGCCCTTTACGTCCTAAAGCTACTTCAAAGTACCACTGTCGTTAAAATGCTTCTGTGAGCCGGGTATGCTTGTATTGTTATTTTTAATTCCTTTTAATTTCATTTAAAGTAGAACTATGCGCATTTATATCCTAATATTAGGAATTCATGTTTATCCTTAAAACAGGTGTATGTTATTTTACGGATTTAAAATATCTCGTACAAGGATAATAGCGAGAAATAAGAATAATAAGTTAGGACATAAAAGGTTTAATGAGGAACAGATCATCTCTTTTCGTATTTCGTTTGCGTCGATTGCTTCCCATTCTATTTCTGAAAGTTAATCGAACTCTTGGCATCATTTTGTTCCACTCGGCTGGCCTGACAATTTTAACAGTGTAACTACTGAATGGTTGAATTGACTAGCTGGTATTTTCTTATTAGAAATTACAAGATTGTATTTATTGAGATTTTGATTGTACTTCTGATTTATTTGTAATTACATTTTATATGAAAATTAAATGTTAGTGTTTCTGTTAATAGATACGTAATTCTACGTTAATGTATATAGAACATTATTTCATATAGTTAATATGAAAATAAAAAAATATTAAGAATATTTTTATTTTATACTGAAGAAGAATAAGAAGAATATTTATCAAATCTGGGTTAAAATTGTGGGAAACGTTATTACTGTATGCCTTTTACTCAGTTCTTCCCCCTTTCATCAATCAGTGACTCGTTCTGACCTATTCTTCTTGAAGTGGTCATTGAAACTATGGCACATCATTATACTCTGCCAGAGCTGCACCCTTTATTGAAAAAATTTCCGTTGTAAGCAAATCCCAAGAGCAATTCAAGTTCGCTGCTTGCATCTCGAGGGTTCGCTGCTTGATAAGGGAACGTGGAGTACATGTCATTAACAGTTCTCCTCGACATAAATGTGCTACAGGATAATTTTTCAATAAATAATAATAAATGTATCGTATTGAACTTTATTGAATATTTTGAATGTAGAAAACTTATGTTTTAATAGATTTTAATGAAATATAACATTATAATTGAAATGAAATAGAATTTACTTTATCTTTGATAATGGATACGATCTCATTAATATTTGTTTGTTTATAATTTACAGATTACACATGAGCCGCCAAAATTGAAAACCACCCTGAAAACGCCTCCAAAACAAGCAACTAATCCTCTTCAATTCGTCAAAGTTGGACCATGTTCCTTGTATCGTACCGCCCAGGAACAGCTGCAAAAGGTTCAAGAAGTAAAGAAAATAAAACAAGAGGTCCGGGATGACCCCGAAGATTGGCAATCGGTATAATCAATAATTTATTATAGTAAAATTTATTTTAGTATTGTATTTTAATATTGTAACACTAAATTCACGAACATTTACTGTACACTTTATTTTATTGTTCCTAAAAAAATAGGTGTATATTCATATAGGTCTTGAAAATTAGAACTTCAGAAACAAAGATTTGAGATACATATTAGTATAATAGTATTATTTAAAAGATTAACAGAAACTTTTAACAAATAATATTTATGAAATTTAATATCCGTCAAATTAATGGATTCTGTAAATCTAGTGTCAATGAATTGACTTATTGTTATGTACGTGAAATTTGTTCACAGAATTTGGACAATTGGAAAAGCAGTCGAAGGAAGCGTCAAGAGCACATAATAGAGCGGGTGGTGGAGGTGAAGAAACTCGAGCTGGAGGAACATGATCGGCAGCGTCGTCGAAGCAAAACTTTCTCGGAAATGATGGAGGAGAGGGGTAATAGGGGCCGCAAACTGAGTATCAGCTTGGCCATGTACCATGAGGAGGATGCTAATGACCTGAGTGACCTTGGAATAGGCACCAGCAGTGGAAAGAGCTCGGTTAGCGGCGACACTCACGATGACACGCACAGTGTCCTGGTAAGACTAACTATTTCAGTAACTAAATATGTTCTACTTAAATTCCATTGTTATACAACCATGAATAACGAAAGAACAAACATTTCCTCATTAAAGAGAATAAAGATCTCATTAAACTCTCTCAAATATTTCCCTATACTGATTTTCAAAAAATCAAAAATGACAACCGTGTAATCTAATTATTACGTTTAAAAAGAATTGAAACCATTCCATCAAAATATTATGCTGAATACTAATAATCCTTAATCATTATTTGACTTAAAAATGAAGTTCACGAATATTTTACAGAGCGACAGAGACAGCGAAATAGAGAAGAACCATTCTGATTTGGATAACGTACCAAGCGAGAACGTGATCGGCAACGATATAACAACATCCTCATCTACCACCGTATCCGCGGCGACAACGACGACGAAGAAACCGTTCGGCAATGGTTTCCATACGAACCACAACCACAACAACCAGGAATATGACTCAGCAACGACAGCGACGACCAGCTCCCCTGAACCGGAAGAATACACGTACGAGGGTGCGATCCGCAGCTATGTATCCAGAGTATCGCAGAACATACCTAGAAGATCCTTAGCGAGTCTGGACGCGAAGCTGGACAGCGCGAAATCATCGACGAACGGTTCGAAAACGAGTTTGAACGACGAGAGCAAGTCGACCATACCGGTGGTCAAGGTGGACATACTGAAAAGGCGGGAAATCTTCGAGAAGGCGTCGCTGAAGAGCAGCGAGGGCAAGGCGAACAATAGGCTCTCCGGCGATTTTACCGGCACGAAATCGATCAAGGAAAGGCTGTCGAACCTGGAGAAGCAGAAGCACGAGACAGAGAGCGTTGAAAAGAGTGGGAAGTCCCTGAACAGACTGTCGGGCGATATGAGCTCGATCCGCGAGAGACTGTCCCACCTAGAGAAACAAGCTTCGGAGCGGGAGAGTAAGAACTCCGCTCATCGCAAGCTGAGCACCGAGGAATTGGAGACTGTCAGACCACTCAGGGAGAGATTATCAACGCTGGAGAAGTACAGCAGCAGTGACGAATCATCGGCGCCAGGCACCGCTCACGAATCCCGGCACAATGGCGAATTGTCCGCTAGAACAATAAAGGATCGCCTAAGTGCCCTAGACGCGGTTAGAAGTAAAGAGTCCACTGACAAAAGATCTTTTGTTGGGAAACATTCGCTATGTTTCCGGGATCAGGAGAATAGGATCGACACTTCGACTCCGAGCGAAAGAAGCTCGTCACCCGATTCCGAATATCGCGTGCCGAGAGCTGCCTTCCACAGGAGCCTGGACTCGCTGGACGCCGATGCTTCGAGCGGTCCCGACACCTTCGAGCGTGTACAAAGTCTAGAAGAGCTCGACTATGGCAGACGCTATCCGGCATCCTCGTCGTCCGCGGAGCTTCTTAACGATACGGACCGCGAGGATTCCGGAATCCACACGGCTGACGTAAGCTGCTCCGTCAGCCAGGCCGACGAACCGGTGGACGAGGACATTGTGCACGCCAGCGCGATCATCGAGAGGCAGGAAGTTATCGAAGAGAAACCAGAAGAATCCCGAGACGTTGAGACAGCGAATGAACCCGTAGCTGAACAGAGCACCCCCATACCTGAGATATCGACGATTTCTGCCAGCCAGCAGGACGCAGTAGTAACAAAGAAGGTAAGTCGCGAAGATAAAACTGCATGGTTGTTCTTTTATCGGATAAGCCCAGTTTCGACTGTCGTCGTATCTAGTAATCTAGCTTCTGTGAAAGTAAAATTATTCAGTGGAATTATTTTGATTGTTGTCGTTTGAAGATTGTGAAAGTTTATGGTAATCGAGACATTTTTAGTATTGTACAGGATCGATCTTGTTGATTAATGTCTCAGAGCTTTTTGAGATTTTACTAGAAATTTGTTAAAGGACCATATGTCATAGTTGAGTCGAAATGATAGTAAATTCTTTGAAAAGGTATTTGTATTTGGAAATGTGAAAATTATATAGATTTTGTGATTTTCATTTTTATGGATCTTCGTAGTTCAAACTATAGAGAAGATATTCATTTCCAAAGTTCATTTCTGAAATCAATTTTTGCTATTCGGATACGCAACATCAGGTGATACGATCTATCCAATAACTCTTTGGTTCTCTAGGGTACTGCTGACACTTCTGGGGAACTGTCGACTAACAAATCACAATCGCAAGCTCACATAGAGGTTACTAACTCTAGCACACTTCGTTCCTGTCCCGCTACGTGTCGCCCTATCGTATACCAAAGTCCCAAAGTACCTCCGCGAAGAACCCCGCCCGAAACGCTTCCCAAACCAAAGTCATCGCTGCCCAAAGAGCTCACCGATGCCAAAGCAGACTCTCTATCTACCAAAGAAACGAATATATCGACAAGCTCCAAACTCTTCGCAGAGGAACAAGACTCTATCCGCGATACAGACGAAACGAGCCAAAGTTCGAAAGAGGATTCTGTTAAAACCGCTAGTTCATTGTCAGTGTCGCTAGATTTACCCGCGAAAGATAGCTGTCCTGTGTCTTCTGGTAGGACGGCGACCGTTCCAACGACCCTTCAATTAGAATCTAACACTACCTCAGCTTTCATCCCTTCCACGAAGGAAGTCGCTAAGACCACACCGGTCACGTCCCCCAGGTCGGCATCCAAGATCCCCACGCCGCTGCCTCGGAAGACGATAAGTAGCAAATCGTCACCGACAAGTTCCACGTCCTCCCTGAGCCCGCCCGTCTCACCCTCCTCACCTAAAGCGCCGATAATCAAACCGAGAACATCGAACGCTAAGAGTCCGGTCAGTCAGATGTCTTCCCCCCAATTCCCGAAAGCGTCAGAGATACCTGTCCCGGTTAATACCACCGGCCAGGTGTCTGGCAGTATTCCATCCGGCGTACCGTCTCCTTTGGAACCGTCGTCCCCGATGTCCTTCGCGAAACACGTTCCATCATCCCCCCTGTCATCCAGCACGAATCATCAGGTGACGGTGGGTGAAGAGACACTGGCTGCCGAAAGACGCCGAACGGTGGTGGAAATTTGCGAAAAGGTGGTGGTACCTCAGGGCAAGACTCCTACGACACCTACAGTGACACCGTTCATCACCGTGGATCGCGTGACACACAAGCAGAGCCCAGCGACCGAGGTTAGGATCGAACAGCAATCTAACTGCCCTTCGAGAAAGTCTTAAGCGGCCCAAGGAGCGACTCGTGTCTCGCTGTCTTTGCGTAGCGCGTTGTCTCTCTTTTTTTTCGTTCTTTCTTTCATTCTTTTTTTTCCTTTTTTTCTTTCTTTCATTCTTTTTTTTCCTTTCTTTCTTTCTTTCATTCTTTTTTTTCCTTTCTTTCTTTCTTTCATTCATTCTTTTTTTTCCTTTCTTTCTTTCTTTCATTCTCTTTTTTTCTTTCTTTCTTCCTTTCCTTCATTCTCTTTCTTTCTTTTTTCTTTCTTTCTCGCCTCACCCCCTCTTTGTTAGACCTAGCTTCGTCTAACATCCATTAGATCTTGTACATAAAAATGGGCTTAGAGCGGGCGCCCAGGTGGTGGGAATTACTCGGTCGCTTGTGGACGAAAGAGCCTTGCGGAGAAATTTAAGTTTCTGAAGAAATAAGAACATTCTTTATTAAAAATATAAGGAGACTATGTTAAAAACGGTAACGAGAGAAGGATTCTTGCTTCAGGCAATTTATTTTTTGCTAATATTTGGGATATTTATAAGAAGATATTCTTTCTACGTTTATTATTTTTCCTTCGAGTACATCTGGTAAATGTTTCGTTTCTACACATTGATTTAAATATTAATAGAAATTCAAAATTAAAATACCCACATAGAAATTGAAAATTTCGGGCAGAAAAAACATTGATAATTCGCTAATGAAGATATTGCAAACCTGTATGGTTAAGAAAAATTACTCATAAACGTGTTTAAATATTTATTTACTAAATTTGTACAGGTAGTTTGGTTTGTATTTTAGCTACCACCATAGTAAAATGACGAGAAAATACATTTTTAGTTTATTTGTTATCTTTCTTCGAAGGTTGGTGGTTCGTTTCGACGTTATTCCGAGAAACGATTTTCTTGTCTCGAATTGTTTCGATCAGGAAACCTAATCCCGCCACTTAGGACACCCAGATAATGTAACCCGTCTTCGCCTGTCGCTTCCACACATATTTATTATCTTCCATTACGCACAAATCTCGTTGGAAACGAAGGCGTGAGACCATAGCTAACGATGTAAATAGACGACGCAGGAGCAAAACGTATATAATAACCCCCAGTATCGAGTAGAATTAGATCAGGTAGCTGGAAACACGTACTAGACGGAGGTAAAGGACGGTACCAGTTCGAGTGAAGTCGATAATCATGATGACTTGCGTGAAACTCGATGGCCTAATAAAACGGGACATCCATCTTGGATCTGCACTGTTTATTCCAGAAGCCACCGAACGTAAATTGAGACAGCTGTTTTTCTGCGAAACCTTAATGACTTCTATTATAAACTTTTTAAAGCGCATGTAGGTTCCCTTTTAAAGGAGCACGCAGTGTATAACGATTATGCAAACACTGGAAATATCTCATTTGTCTTCAAAATTTCTATTATTCATTATTCATTGTACTTGCCTTATTTCGTTTCTTCCGGTAATTTTTTCTGATTAAAGTAAAGATTAAATTGAAAGAATCACATGTCATTTTAAAGATTAAAAAGACTTCAAACTTTTCGTACAATTTATTGTGATTATTTTACCTGTTTAAACGGAAGTTATTTTCTGTAATTTATAACGAAAATCGTAGATATTTTCAGGAAAATTGTTGTTTCAATTCTAGTCTGGAAACTTTCCAGAGAGCCGTGTAACATGATGTCTGAGCGATCGATCACTGCCTAATATATAAATCGTGAGAAGACATTGTGATAATAATCTCGGATTTCTATACGTAACTGTCATTGAACGAAATGGAGATAATGGCCGTGAAGAAGTAAAAACCGTAAATACCATCGTTGTCAGATGTACTCCAAGTGTAAAACTCCGTTTTAGATTAACTTGTAATCGGTCTGGAGGCGGGTCGTCGACACTTATGTGCGGATAACGATCGATTTTAATACTCAGGAGTATATGCGGTTAATCATATATTAAATTCACTGGGCAGAGGAATTTATCGTGTCGTGTCGCATCGCCATCGTCACCGCAAATAGAATTCAGGTTTTGTCGAGGAAGGGATTTCGAAGCACAAATGAAACGGATTCGGACAATTCGCCGATTCTCATTTTGACGGACGGACAGTCCGAACATCTCCTCCGCAAATTCGGCTCATTTCTGCTTCGGAAAAATCTCGATTTCGAACTCGTCGAACACGTAGCCAGTGTATGTAATCGAATATTAGTTTAAAATTACGCGCACAAGGTGCACACGTCAAATATTTCTATCGGAATTTTTCAGTCTCAACGCATCGATTTTACCACTGTCATCGTCGTCGTAAATTGTTCGAAACGGAAAGTGGAAAATCCTGCTGACTATATTCGAAACGTCTGATCATAAATAAAGGGGAAATAGTATAAATTTTCAAATCGCATTTCAATGATTTGTCTTCCATTGAGTTGATTAATTAAGATGTCCCTTCGTTTTCCAAAAATTACGCAAATGTTTCAATCAGTTGTCCATTGTACGAACAGAAAAGTGTTTAGCAATGAACAATCAATAAGAAATTTCTAATTTTTATCTTGAATTTTGATTTCTATTATTTCTATCATATTATTTATACAGAATTTTACATTTTGCTACAGATACAAATTTGACACTATTAACACTTTGTTCGCTGGCAATTTTATGCAGAAGCTATCCCATGTCACCAGTTATTATTCCGTAATTCAGTATAAAAGTGAGACAATCTAAACAAACTTCAAATATACTTCATGTATACTTAATGGACTGAAATGAAACTTTAGACATATCTTTTATATAATTTTTAATATTTTGCTTTTGCAATATTCTATATTGCCCTGTGTTTCAAACATTGAAATGGCTAAATGCAAGTGCAAACACAAGTTAACTCGTAACCGGTCAACAATGTGTTAATGACAAAATAAAGTTTCAAGAAAACTCGTAAAATAAAATCACCTGTTTAAGTAATTTCTGGAAAAAGAATTTTTCGGTCATTAATGGTCATCGATCGATAAATCAGGATCCACGTATAAACGCGCGTCGCACATCGAAAATCGGCTTATCGTTTCTGCGACGCGTATCATCGTCATACTGCTCGAAGTACAGCACAAGTCGCGCTGCAGCGGCGAACACATTTGATGTGTCGTCCTCGTGACCTGCGGATCGTAGGTCGGTCGGAGTGGCGTTTAATTATTAAAGAACTCGCATTTGACCCGCCGCGATAAAAGTGTCCTGAATTGTTACGATTACTCGTCTCGCTATCGCGAGTTCTCGTATTCGTTTCGTGATCGTGAGTCAAGGAGGTAAGAACCGTATGATTTGCTGGAAATATTAACCAATTGATTGATCGTTGAGAACGTTTATTAATTGAATGTTTGAGCTCTGCGCTCTCGTATAATACCCCTCTTGTTTATTAACCAGGAATGTAATTAATATTAAAAAGTTGTTGGCCTGTAGCTCGACTATTATCGCTTCATATAGTAAAATCATAATTCTGTTTGAGCATAGAGAGTGTTACGTATAATGGCGACCAGGTTTGTGTAGTATCTTTAAAAAGTTCACTGGATGAAAAAAATATTTTTATAACCTTATACTTGTAAATTCTTCATTGATATATAAAAATTTGATGTTTCTAGAACTTTTGAAAGCTATGTTACACAGTTTTTATATGGTTTTAATATTACTGCAAGATATTGTTTACTACTAAACACCGCAAAAGATATTGCATGAAGTGTAATAATATCTTCGCAGAATATGTAATCTAACTGTCAGATAACAAAGTGCCAAGCAATCGAATAAAATGTGGATCTGGGTCATTTCTAATCTATAAAACTCTACAATGCATATTCCATAATTAATAACATTTACCAAAATCTTGTTGTAGAACTGCAACAAAATAATTATTGATTAAATAAAACTCCAGTCTAAAGAAACTTAATAAAGGATTTACAAGCACAAGCTTGAATGTTTTCATCTATTCGATCTATGATACTTCAAATGTCACACAGACAACGTCCCAGTATTTTTGAACACACTCATTAAATCCATCAGGCTATCTAAATCTTTGTCCCTGGTAACTGCTAAATAAGGAAAATTCGATTTAACATTCTCCCACGCCAGAAGTATAAGCCTTCGTCGGAACGACGGAGCATTTGTTCCATGTTACTAGCTTGTTTGGTGTAGGCTAGGTCGGCAAACATCATCAGTGCAAAATCAAGCAAACACCTTAAATCTAAGCTCTCGGCTGCAGCGAGGAGGTAAGCTGGTGCTTTCAATTGCTCGAACTAGCGATAATCCCCAGATCCCTGTATTTTTCCAACGGTTGTTACACTAGTTACCCGCTTATCAGTAGCGGTGTTCGCTCTCGAGACAGGATTTTAATTTATGCATGGCTGCTTAGTTTATTTCAATCCCGTTAAATATTGAACCTGCTCTTCGTCTTTAAACAAACGTGCACATTCCGAGTTTTCAAATATTTTTCTTTTCTTCCAAACACTGTGTACATATGTCCTCTTTTAACACGTTGATTGTCACGGTGGTCACCGATGACCGGAGCTTCCAAACTGCTTGAAAACAATAACAATAAGAAAGTTGATGCCGAATAAAAATATTTAATAACATAAGCAGCTAGATAATGGCGTAATATGTGTACAGTGATACCAAATCATTAATAATTATTTCGAATACCATTTGCCTTTGTTATGAAAGAATCAGTAATACTATACAAAACTGTGGAATTAACTGTAGAATTTAATTTCAGAAATCTCTGACAATGCTCACAATGAAATCAAATAGTAAAACAAAACGAAGAAGAATTACATGTTTATCTGAAAAAATAAATAATTAATCGTTGAAAGAAATAGTATCATTTTGATTTTAAGATGACGCGTGTACTCGTCGAACGCAATTAACTGATTAAGATCGAAAAATCGTGATCCAATACCCTTTCTTTCAGCTTTACGCAAAGCTGATGTATTTCGCGCAATA